TGCCCGACGTCCACAAAATGGCCTGCCCTAACTTTTCTATGGTTTTCCATAGGAAGGACAGAAACAAGTATTTGTTTGTATAACTTGACATGCAAGTGCAAGAAATGATAAGCAGTGCCCATAAAAAGCTCTAAGGTAACAACAAACTCAGACAATTGGAGCAAGAGATTATGTGTAGAGATATACAACAGACCATATTAAGTCCTGGATGATAAGCTAGGATGAGATACTTTGCAAAATTAGTACATTCATACGTAGTCATGTGTATGAGGGAATTTAGAAAACCATATGCATGCCCAGTTAAGACACATGTTCAGAAATGTCCTCGGTAGCTTTCTTCCTGGATGGAACTCTAGGCTTGGAATAAGCCCATCTATGGTTAAGAAGTACTCCACCACAGAACCATGCTGCAAAAACCAGGAGAGGTAGCTGTTCCCACCCCCACCATCCACTCCTCAGTTCTCTCCTTTTTTTTTTTATCTGTGTCTCTCTTTCTATGTCTCTCCCATCCTCTTTCAATTTTGGTTTGTTTGGTTTTGTTTTGGTTTGTTCTCATTCCTGGCATTCAAGGAAATCTGTCAGAGCATTAACAAAACATGAGCTAAAGAAACAGAGACTTCAGTGATCATACTCAACAAAGAAAACAACCTTTTCAAAGCACATTTAGGGGGCCGGCAAGTGGCATGGTGGTTGAAGGCGCTGGACTCCCACATGGCCGACCACGGTTCAAGTCTTGGACCTGGTGACTTGCTTTCTCACTTCCTCTCTCTCTCTGTCTCTCTCTGATCAAACTGGAAAATAATAATGATAATAATAAATAAAAAGTTAAAACAAAATAATTCTTTTAAAAAAAAAAAGCACATTTAGGAGACCAGTAGATGGCATAGTGGTTACATCACTGGACTCCCACATGGCCAACTCCAGTTCGAATCCCAGACCCAGTAACTTTAAAATCACGCCAGGCACATGTGTGTGCATGTCCAAGATCCAGGGAGGAGAATGGAAGAAAAGGGATTGCATTGTGGCTATCCCCCCGCCAGGGGGGCGATTTCTTACTTTACCTCTCATTGTCTCTGTCTCTGTCTGTCTGTCTGCCTCTCTCTCTCTGTGAGCACACACACACACTAATGCCAAAATCTCTTAAAAAACAAAAACAAAACTTCAAAATATATTTGGAAAAGTCATTTTATAAAAACTTCTATAAACTTCAGCAATGAAAATACCAAACTCTAAGAGACAATTTGATTTCCATAATTACCACATAATAGCCAATGTCCAATTTTCAAGGGGAAAAAAAAACACAAAGAAACAGGAAAACATTACTTCTGCAAAGGAACAAAACATGTGGACAGAAATTATTCCTCAGGAGGCCCAGAACCTGGACTCAAGGCACAAATACTTTTAAACAATTGTCTTAAATGTGAAACATGAAGAAGTAAAGAAAAATGCTGTGTTTTGAATGTTCACTCCAAAATTTGTGGTGAAATTTACTATTGTAATATTGTTGATAGGCAGGACCTTTAGAAAATAATTAGGTCATGAGGATTCTTCTGTCATAAACGGATTATGTCATTATTGCAGTTGCAGTTTCTTGATTTAAAAAATAAAGATATTTAGTCCTTACCTTTTCTCTACCTCATATACACTCATACCTTTCTATTGTCCTCTGTGGGAAGATGTAACAAGATGGCCCTCACCAAATAGCCAAGCAGACGCCACCACCATGCCCTTGGACTTCCCAATCTCTATAAGCTTCTCCTTATAAATTGCCCAGTCTGCAGTATTTTGTTATAACAACAGAAAATAGACTAAGATAGAAAATTAGTACCAAGAAGTGGGGTGTCACTATAACAAATACCTGAACATGTGGAATGGGTAATGGGCAGAAGTTGAAACAGTTTGGAGGAGCGGGATATAAAAATCTATATTCCTTTGAATGGAGATTAAGGGTGATTCTTTTGGTGGAATCAGAAGAAAAGTAGGCCATCCACTGGTGTGGTGGTGCTTAAGGTAGCAGGATCTCACACAGATGACTGCACAGTTTGAGTCCTGGACACAGCAGCTTCAAAAACATGCCACATACATGTGCATGCATGCCCCAAATCCTGAGAGGAGAATAGAGGAGGATTGTGATATGCCCGTCTCCCCTAGGGGGTGCTTCTCACTTCTGCCTTTTCTCTCTGACTCTTTCCAGTGAGAGTATGTGCCCTGTAGCAAACTAAAATAGAGGAGGTGGAAGAAGAAGAAGACAAAGATGAGGAGAAAGAGGAGAAAGAGAAAGAGAGAGAAAGAGAAAAAGAGAAAGAGAAGTTAAGTGTCTAGGACCAGAACGTTTGTAGAAATATGGACAATAAAAGCATTTTGCTAAAGTCTCACATGGAAATGAGGAACACTATGCTGTGGCATAGCAGTTAACACACTGGACTCCCACATGGCCAACTTCAGTTCTAGTCCCGGACTCAGCAGCTTCAAACTCATGCCAGGTGTATATGCATGCATGCCCCAAATCCTCAGAGGAGAATGGAGGAGAAGATATTGCAGGATGACCATCCCCCTGGGGGATGATCTCTCACTTTCTCTCTGTTCTTCTCTGTCTCTCTGGCAAACACATGTGCCCTATAGCAAAAATCTATAAAAAAATTTTTTTTCACTGTCTGATCATGTAAAGAGGGAAAAAGTATGTTCAGGAGTGAATACTAAGGGTGTAGCTAAGCAGTCATTTGCCAAAGAGATTAATATGGATAGAAGGTAGTCAGGTGCTATTCCTCAAGACTGTAGGATAAAAAAACCCAAAGACATTTTTGAGACCTTCAGTGCTGACCCTCCTATCATAAGCCCAGAGCTCTAGGGGGGAAGAATGGTTTCAAAGGATGGGCCCAGAGAACCTTCCACAGAATCACTAGATGTATAGGCCCACCTCAGGACTTTGCTCCCCACATTCTAGTACCCCCAGTCACATCACCCATAGTTTAAGTAGGTAGCCTAAGCCACCGCTCTGGAAGGTACAAGCTATAAATTTTAGCAGAGTGTACATGATGTTAATTCTGCAGGTATGTAGAATGCAAGAGCTATGGGTGCATGGCTACATCCACCTAGACTTCAAAGATGTCACAGACAGCTTAGGAACTCAGGCAGAAAACTGACTCAGGGATGGAACTACCACTGGGAGTCCCCAACTAGGCCAATGCCTAGTGAAGTCATCGGAGCAAGGCCATCTCAGATTCCAGTACTGGAGGGATGCCAGCATTCAACTCTAACCTAGGGAAGCTATAAGCATGAGACTCTAAACGGTGAAAGCTGCTGAGTAAGCTGGGCACAGAAAAGCCATAGAAACAGGGCTGTGCAAGGCCTTGCAGGTCCAATTTCTGCTCCAGTGTCCCCAAGACACAGAACATGGAGTCAAGAGAAATTTTTCTGAAGTCTTATATTTTAATGATGTTTACCATGTTGGTTTTGGGATTCCTTGGAACCAATTCCTCTTTTCTGATCTATTTCACCCTTTGGAATGAGAATGTCTATCCTACGCCTGTCTAATCATTGTATTTCAGAAGTAGATAACTTGGTTCAGTTTTACAGGTATAAAGCTGGAGGGAATTTGCCTCTCAAGAACCATGCCTTGAGTCTCACCAATGTCTAATTTAGGTGAGACTCTGGACTTTTTAAAAAAGAGTTATTTAATTTTACTAATTATTTGTATTATTTATTTATTTTTTATTATAAATTTTCTCCAGGTCATGTGCATTCACCAGAGAGAGAGAAAACAAGCCACCCAGTCTGGGACTCAAACTACAGTCAGTCATGTGGGAGCCATGCCACCTGCTAGCCTCTGGACTTTGGGATTTTTAATTGATGCTGGAACAAGTTAAGACATTTGAGATTATTAAGATGTAATGAATGCATTCTGTATATGAGAAGGATATCAGCTGGGGAGTGAGGAGGAAAGGATGCTATGGTTTGAATATCTACTCAAACTCTTGCTGAAATTAAATTGCCTAGTAACAGTGTTGAAAGACTAAGGTTTATGAAGGCTTTATCCTCATGAATGGATTAATATTGATAGCAAAAAATGGGTTTTCTAACAAAAGGATACTTTAAACTTCACCATTTCTCTATCTCACACACACTTACTTCCTTGCCTTTTTACCTTCAGCCATAGGATCATGCAACAAGGAAGTCCTCATCAGATTGCCAAGTAGATGACAGAACTATGTCCTTGGATTTCCCAGTCTCCAGAACCATGACCCAATATACTTTTTTTCTTTATAAATTACCCACTCTTCTGTTCTCTTATAGTGGCAGAAAATGGATTAAGACAGAAATCAAGAGAATAGTATATAAAGAAAACAAAAATATCAACAGAATTTTTTAATTATGGAAAAAAGTAATAATTCTAGAACTGAAAAATACAATTACTGAAATAAAAAAGTTACTAGAGTTCAACAGCAGATTGAGTAAACAGAAGAAAGATTCAGAAAACATAAATATAGGACAAAATTATACTGAGAAGCAGAAAAGACAATGAATAAAAGTGAACAGAAATGCCATTAAGGATACAAATTGGGAAAATATGTATATGTATATCTTATAAAAAGAAGCAAAAGAGAAAGAAATGAGAAGAAAGAATATTTGAAAACATAATATCCAAGGGCCAGCAAATGGTGTAGTGATTACATCACCAGACTCCCACATGGCCAACTGCAGTTCAAGTCTTGGACCCAGTAGCTTAAAACTCACTTCAGAAAAAAAGAAAAAGAAAAACTCATGCTAGGTGTTTGTGCATGTGTACCCATGATCCCAGGAAGAGAGGGGATTACAGTGTGGTCATCCCCCTTGGGTGGGTGGGGGATTTCTCACTTTACTTTTCACTGTCTCTGTCTCTTTCTGTCTCTCTCCCTGGCAAGTGCACGTGCCCTAGGTCAAAAACCTCTTTTTTAAAAAAGAAAGAAAACATAATGTCAAAAAACTTCACAAATCTGGAAAGCAGCAGTACCAGATCCAAGATGGCGGCCAGCAGGAGGCTGATGAAGGAGCTTAAAGAAATCCGCAAATGTTGAATGAAAAACTTACATAACATCCAGGTTGATGAAGCTAATTTATTGACTTGGCAAGGGCTTATTGTTCCTGACAACCCTCCATATGACAAGGGGGCCTTCAGAATCGAAATTAACTTTCCAGCAGAGTACCCATTCAAACCACCGAAGATCACATTTAAAACAAAGATCTATCACCTGAACTTCGATAAAAAGGGGCAGGTCTGTCTGCCAGTAATTAGTGCTGAAAACTGGAAGCCAGCCACCAAAACCGACCAAGTCATCCAGTCCCTCATAGCACTGGTGAACGACCCCCAGCCTGAGCACCCCACAGCTGACCTAGCTGAAGAATGCTCTAAGGACCATAAAAAATTCTGTAAGAACGCTGAAGAGTTTACAAAGAAATATGGGGAAAAGCGACCTGTGGACTAAAATCTGCCACGATTGATCCCAGCAAGTATGAGCAGAGACCCCGAGCAGTTCATCAGACACCCCGCAAAGCAGGACTCTGTGGAAAATTGACACGGGCCACCGCCTGGCGTTCGCTTGTGGCAGTTACTAACTTTCTACAGTTTTCTTAATCAAAAGTGGTCTAGGTAACCTGTAAAGAAAGGATTAAAAATTTAAGATGTTCTAAAACAAACAAACAAACAAACTTCACAAATCTGATGAAAGACATGAATCTACAAATCCAAGGAACTCAATGAATTCTATGAAGAAAAAAAAAAAGAAATCCACACCAAAACATACTATAACCAAACTTTCAAAATATAAAGATGAGAAAATCTAAAAGCACCAAGAAAAAAGCAACTCATCATGTACGAGGGGTGCTCAATAAAATCAACCATTTTCTTATCAGAAACCTTGGAGGCCTGGGACCAGCAGGTGGCGTGGTGGTTAAGGTACTGGATACTCCCCCATGGCCGACCACAGTTCGAGTACCAGACCTGGCGGCTTGCTTTCTCACTTTCCCTCTCTCTCTCTCTGTGTATCTCTCTCTGGTCAAATTAAAATAAATGAGTGGATAAATAAAATTAAATAAATAATTATAAGAAAAAGAAATCTTGGAGGCCCAGAGGCAGTAGTATAATACATGTAAAGTATTAAAAAAAAAAAACTGTCAAGAATTCAATAGAAAAACTGTCCTTCAAAAATGAGGGAGAAACTAAGACATGAAAACATTGCCAGCTAAAGATGAAATAATTAATTACCACTAGACTTGGCCTATAAAAAAATGCTAAAATAAATCCTTCAGGTTGAAATGAAAGAATGCTAGACAGTAATCCAAACACAAGTGAAGATATAAAGATCTCCAGTAAAGGTAAGTACATAGACATAAAAATATTTGCATATAAAATAAAATATTATTGTAATTTTTGTTTGTAATCTACTTTCTATTTCCTGAAGGATTTAAACTCAAATGCATAAAAATAATTATAGGTCTATGTGTCTCTTTCATCAGGCACACAATGTATAAAGATGTAAAATATGGGACATTAGTAATATAAAGGGAAAATAGAACTGTATAGGAATAGTTTTTGAATGTGATTATAGTTGGTATCAATTCAGATTAGATGCTTCTAACTTTAGAATGTTATATAGAACTCTCATTGTAATCATAAAAATACTATCTATAGAATATACAGCCCCGCAAAAATGAAAAGGGGTTCAAAATTTGTGACTTCAAAAAATCAAATGAGGGACCAGCAGGTAGCAAACTCGTTAAGGTGCTAAACTCCCATGTGATAAACTGCAGGTTAAGTCCCAGACCCAGTGTCTTGAAATTCACACTGGGCATGTGTTCACGCGTGTCCAAAATCCCAAGAGGAGAACAGAGGAGAAGGGACTGTGGCATGGCCATTCCCCCTGGGGGATGATTTCTCGCCTCCTATATCTCTGTCTTTCTGGGGAGAGCAAATGCCCCATAGCAAAAAAAAATCTTGAAAGAGAAAGAAAGAAAGAAAGAAAGAAAGAAAGAAAGAAAGAAAGAAAGAAAGAGAAAGAAAGAGAGAAAGGAAGGAAAGAAGGAAGGGAGGGAGGGAGGGAGGGAGGGAAGGGAAGGGAAGGAGGGAGGGAGAGAAAGGAAAAGAAAGAAAGAGAAAAAGAAAAAGAAATAAACTGAATGGCCAGCAGGTGGCATGGTGGTTAAGGTGGTGGACTCCCACATGGCTGACTGTGGTCTGAGTTCCAAACCTGATGGCTTACTTTCTCATTTTTCCACTCTCTTTCTTTCTGTCTCTTTCTCATGAGTGGTAACATTATAGCAAACTTAATATTAAATAAATAAATAATTTTTTTAAAAAAACTCAATTGAACACAAAATAAAGTGATACTAGAGTAAAAGATGGACAAAAGTCTATGACATAGGGGAATCCGCAGATGGCATAATGGTTAGATCTCTGGACTCCCATGTAGTTGACTGTGGTTCAAGTCCCAGACCTGGCAGCTTAAAACTCATGCCAGACATGTGTGTGTGCGTGCCCAAAATCTCAAGAGGAGAATGGAGAAGGGGTTGTGGCATGACCATGCCCCCTGAATGGTTATTTCTTGCTTTCTGTCTCTCTTCTTCATCAATAATTACTCTAAATATAAATGAATTAAGCTCTCCATTCAAAATGCAGAGATTGGCATAATGGATTTTTTTAGAGGGATTTTTGGTACAGGGCATGCATGCTCACCAGAGAGACAGAAAGCAGAATGTCACCCCCCAGACAGGATGGCCATACTGCAATCCCATCTCCTCATTATCCTCTCAGGATTTAGGTCATGCATGTACATGCACCAGCATGAGTTTTAAGCTGCCAAGTCCAGAACTCAAACCACAGTCAACTATGGGGGAGTTCAGTGACATAGTCATTATGCCATCTGCTGGTCCCTGGCATAATAATTTTAAAAAACAATCCAACTATATGATGCTTATAGGAGACAATTCAGATTCAAAAATAGAAGTAGACTGAAAATAGGGCCAAGCAGGTGGTGTAGTGGTTACATCATTGGACTCCCACATAGTTGATTGTGGTTCTAGTCCCAGACCCAACAACTTAAAACACACCAGGCATGTATACATGCATGCCCAAAATACCAAGAGGAGAATGGAGAAGAAGGGACTATGAGATGACCATACCCCCCTGGAGGGTGATTTCTCACCTTCTATCACCCTGTCTCTCTGGAGAGAGCAGATATGCCCTATAGCAAAAATCTCTCTTAAAAAAAAAAAAGGAGAAGACTGAAAATAACTGGTTAGCAGAAGATACATAATGTAAACAGCAGCCATATGAAAGCTGAAGTAACTACACTGAAACAAAATAAACTTTAAAATGGAAATATGGCTAGAATTAAAGATTGGTATGTTATATTGATAAATGATTCACTCTATCTCAAAGTTATGAAAATTACACACATACATGTATGAACAATTTGTGAAGTCTGACAGAATCGAAGAAGAAAATAGACAGTTGAACAATAAAAGTTGAAACTTCAGTATCCTTTGTCAGTACTAGTAGAACTAAGCAGATCATCAAGAAAACTGGATATTAGAATGACAGTATAAACGAACCATGCCTATCATATATATATATACACATATATATAAATTCCATCCAACAACAGCAAATGCATCTTCTTCTCAAGGGTGCATGGAACATTCTCCAATTTATGCTATATTTTAGACCATAACACAAGTTTCAATAAATGTAAAAGTATTGAATTCATAAAAATATATTTTCTAAACACAATAGAAATTGAAAAACAGTAAGAGAAATAAATAGTATTAAAACATACAGAGATCGGGACCAGCAGTTAGTGTAATGGCTATGTTGCTGGACTCCCATGTAGGTGACTGCAGTTTGAGTCCCAGACCCAGTGGCTTAAACTCACTCCAGGCATGTGTGTGTGCATGCCCAAGATCCCGAGAGGAGAATGGAGGAGAAGGGATTGCAGCATGGCCATCCCCCCGGGGGTGATTTCTTATTTTCTGTCTCTCTGCCTCTCTCTGTCTTTCTGGTGAGCGCATGCGCCCTATAGCAAAAACCTCTCCAAAAAATACACACACACACACACACACACACACACACACATATATATATATATATATAGAGAGAGAGAGAGAGAAATTAAATGACATACTATTAAATAAGCACTGAGTAAAAGAAGAAATCTCAAGGGAAATCAGAAAATAGATTCACAGCGCTAGCAGGTGGTGGTGGTGGATAAATGCACTGGATTCCCACATGGCCAACCATGGTTCAAGTTCCAGACCTGGTGACTTGCTTTCTTGCTTTCCCTTCCTCTCTCTCTCTGCCTCTAGTCAAATTAAAAAATAACAAATGGAATTAAATAAATAAATAATCTTTATTAAAAAAGAAAATAGTTTCAGGTAAATGCAAATGTAGTACAACATACCAAAACTAATGGGAGTCAACTAAAGCAATACTTAGAGGAAAATTTATAGCCATAAACGTCTACATTCAAAACCAATAAAGGTCTCAAATCAGTAAGTTAAGCTTCCATGTTAAGACACTGGGGACAAAAAAAAAACTAAACCCAAACCCATCAAAAGATAGGAATACATGAGGATTAGAGTGGATATTGAAAGGGGACCAGCAGTTAGCATAATGGCTATGTCGCTGGACTCCCATGTAGTCGACCACGGTTCGAGTCCTGGACCCAGTGACTTAAACTCATGCCAGGCACATGTGCATATGTGCCCAAGATCCCAAGAGAATGGAGGAGAAGGGACTGCAGCATGGCCATCCCCCCAGGAGGTGATTTCTCGCTTTCTGTCTCTCTGTCTCTCTCTTTCTGGAGAGCACATGCGTCCTATGGCAAAAAACTTCTCAAAAAAAAAAAAGAGAGAGAGAGTTTTGCTATAGGGTGCATGTACTCACTAGAGAGACAAAAAGACAGAAAGAGAAAAATCACTCACCAAGGGGGATGGTCACGCCACAATCCCTTCTCCTCTATTCTCCACTATGGATTTTGGGCATGCATGTATACACACATGGTGTGAGATTTAAGTGCCGGACCTGGCACTCAAACAGTGATCGACTCAGTGGGAGTCGAGCAATGTAACCATTACACCATCTGCTGATCTTCAGAAATAATTTTAAAGAATCATGTCCAGGGACCATGTGTGTGCGCATGCCAAGGATCCTGAGAGGAGATTGGAGTAGAAGGAATTGTGGTGTGGCCCCTGGGGGAGTGGGGGGATTTTTCATTTTCTTTCTCTCTAACTCTCTGGTGAGTGCATGTGCCCATAACAAAAATCTCTCTTAATAAAATAAATAAGTAGAGGGAACCAGCAGTTAGCGTAATGGCTAAGTCACTGGACTCCCACATAGTCGACCGTGATTCGCGTCCCGGACCTGGTGGCTTAAAACTCACGCCGGGCGCTTGTGCATGCGTGCCCAAGATCCCGAGAGGAGAATGGAGGAGAAGGGATTGTGGCGTGTCCATCCCCCCTGGGCGGTGATTTCTCGCTTTCTGTCTCTCTGTCTCTCTTTGTCTGACTGGCGAGCACACGCACCCTATAGTGAAAACCTCTCAAAAAATAAATAAATAAATAAATAAATAAATAATAAATAAGTAGAGAAGAGGATTCCTCATGGCTCCTGCTAACTAGTCATTGCAGGAGA